GCACCCTTGAAGTCAAGAAATACCAGGATTGTGGGTCGTCTGTACATGTTGCGTTGCTCTAACACCTGACGGAGTGTGAAGATGTGGTCAACGCAGCCTCTACCCGGTCGAAATCCCGCTTGATTCTCACGAGTCAAGACTTCGCGTGCCGCCATGAGACGACGAAGAATCAATGACACCAGAAGTCTTGTCACAACAGGTGTCAAGCTAACGCCTCTGTGGTTGCTACATTCACTGCGAGTACCCTTTTTGAAAATGGATACCACTATCGATTCACTCCAGCTGTCTGGGACGGTCTCCTTCTCCCAGATAAACCCAAATAGGCTAGACAGGCACTGGCTGAGGAATCCACCGCCATCCTTGAAAAGGGCAGGTGGAAGGTCGTCAAGACCAGCAGCACGATGACGCGTGAAGAAAGAAATGCATTCGGATACTTCTGAGACTGAAGGCGGCTCCATTGGGTTGTAAGCCCTAACCCCGTTCTTAACGTGGCTACTTCGATAACAAGGATACTTCTGAGACTGAAGGCGGCTCCATTGGGTTGTAAGCCCTAACCCCGTTCTTAACGTGGCTACTAGTTTCGATAACAATGTGAGACGAAAGATACAGAAAATCACACAGAATTTCGATCAGGTAGGGCCGACAATGACCACATCTTTAGTTCACGCCAGGCATATCATCACTGTCACATATACCGCCGAACAACCATGGTGGCTTTCCTTGACTCCAAAAAAGTCTCTCTTGGAAGTCACTCTTGTAAGCTCGGCTGCGGTGTCTCATAGAACGAAGAAGCCCATGAGAGCAAAACTATTGAGACCACCAGCACAGGAACGCGGAACTCGCGGTCAAAATCAAGTGATATCAATCCCATTTATTTGTTAGATGGCGCTCCGGTTCGAAGGCTCGTTCCAGTGAAGTTTACCGCGAGAAGATTATACACCTGCAACTGTCCGGGAGAGGGTTTACACTAGCGTACGCACCCACAGTAATATTCGCTGAAGATGGTAGAAAAGTAATGTACTGCCGTAGGAATTGCAGTCTAGAGGCTTGATGGAATCTCGGGCCCTCGCATCGTGCTGAAGAAAACTGTAAACCGCTATCTCCGACCAAATAGTGATAAAACATACTAAGACACTCTGCAACAGAATGTTTCAGCGCTTTGTTTATGTATGTTCCTCGAATGGTTGTTCTGGCTGTGTCCCGGATGCATTCTCAACCGCGGCTCGTCACTCTGACGTCCTGAAGCAGTGTTTGACTTGAGGGTAGGTTAGCAAAAGCTTGTCGGAAGGAAAATATATGGGAAAACGTAACACCAGGGAGGTCTATGTAATCTTCTGGTGGGTTGATTTGCAGCGGACAAACTGGAAACTACGAAGTTCTCTCAACTCCGGGACGAGACGACATTGGATCGGACAGACGGCAGTTACGTGCCATTCTAGGTGGCTGTTGTCGAGACACCAGTAATCAAGGGCGGCTACATACAAATCAGAACATCTCCAATGGCGCCCAAACTCAAAGTCTGTGAATCTGACCCTGATCCTGAACATGACTTGGGGACGTACGCAGCCATGCAAGTATGAGCAGGGCGCTGCTCACGTAGTTCCGGACACAACGGCAATCCTTATTAAAAAAACTAACCTGGTCGCCATGTGCATGACGTCCAATAATGATTGGTTTTGTCCAACCGGGAACAAGACGAGGTATATTCTTGCATATGATCGGTTCGCGAAAGACGGTACCGCCAAGAATATTCCTGATTGTGCCGTTCGGAGACAACCACATCTTCTTCAATTTGAACTCTTGATAACGTAAGTCAGAAAAGTAAGAAACTTACCTTCCACTCGTTGTTCGTCAGGAGTGATTGTTGCACATTTGATTCCTACACCGCATTTCTTAATGGCATTCGCAGCCTCCACTGTGACCATATCATCAGTGTGGTCACGATTGGGCAAACCCAGGTCAAAGTATTCGCACTGTACATCAACGAAAGGAAATATTAACTGGCGGATATCAACCGACTGAAATCACTTACTGTGTTCTTTATTTTTTCCCAGATGATTCGCGTCATCTCATCACCGTCAATATCCACCACTGGATTCGCTACTTTAATGCGTTTCGTCTCCATACTCGAGTATAATCGACAGGCGAATTTTCCTACCAGGATTGAACGTTCTGCAACGGCTATTCGATGAGAAAGACCCGCAGAAAGTCGACACAACGGCAGGGCGAACGACATTTTATACGCACACGCGCGAAACGTCCTTGAAGTTAGCACGATTAGTAACATTTATAGTGTACGGTGTCCGCCACTTCGATTGAGTTACATGCAATTAATGGTGATGTACAACCTTGTTGACTGGGATGCAGCTCATGAGCTTTCTTTCTATTTTTCACCCACGGAACTTGTCGTGAACACCTGCTTTCGGAGAATCACTGTCCCCTGGTGCCTCCATAGCATGCGTATTACAGATTGGACAGGACGGGGACGCACCCGGCAGAGGCAGAGAACTCACACTAAAACCAACTCTGGTTAGCCGTGTGGTTCCATATTTTTTACGGATATCTCAGAATGACACATAAGCCCTCCTTTAAACCACAGTTCAAATCAGTACGTTTGAAATCGGTTTCGTTTTTCCCTCGTGCAAATTTGTGAAAGAATTTTTTATTGTTCAATCTATTCACAGAGCACACACCAGTAATTATTGAACTATATCACTCTAAAAAGACGTTTGAGAGATAACCCTTGATATTTTGCGCACAGTTCCTATTTTGCATCCAATCCTAAACACGACATCAATTTATACCGGTTGCCCTCTGCGGCCATTGATGGACCACAAAAGATGGGGGCGAAATGGCTGCCTGCCGAAAGTCAAACGCGGTATGCAATGCCACACTTGCAAGGCCTGGTGGCACTTCAAATGCACGGATTTACAGGTCGACCAGATAAGCCGACTAGCTAAATCTCCTGACCCGTTTGTCTGCGCCAGCTCCCTCCACGATAAGGGCGCAATGCATACCGCAGCCAGGAGGAGAGCCCCCAAAAACGGTACTCAGTCCCCAATGCAGAAACAGAAAGACCCATGTGAGTGTTCCGCCTTGATCGGGATACTCGACGCGAAATTGGAGCGTCTTTCTAAGGCACTGGAGTATTCAGACGCAAAGAACGCAGCGACATGGATGAAAGTTGATTAGGAACTTTCTTTGCTGAACGAATACTTCGCGCTATCCATATCGGGTTCTTCTGGCTGCGAAGAAAGCCATACAGCTCTCTGACGCGGCTATAAAGACCGCCACAGCGTCTCTTGTGGACAGGCGCTTGAGGGAAAACAGATTGATAATAGGGGTTATTCCCTGGTAAATCACGCCAGGCGAAGCTGGCACAACCGATCCCTAGCAGTGCCCACACCAAGCCTGATCAATTGCTCCACGCAGAATCGTGACGCCACAAGGGAAGCAAGCGAACTCTTGGGCTTCTAGCCACTCTTTCCATCCCATCTGACCTACAGAAGATCTTGATGCGGGCTGGCATCATTCAGAAATGCTAACCCAATGATCGGGTGTCTATCTGATGATCGCCCTCCAGACGCGCGAAAGCTTGTTCACAGCAGGTCAGGGGTGGAGGCTCGAAGCAGGCTTCCGCCGGTCACCAATTCAATCAACCCCAAACTCATGACCAGGCCGACTGTGGTCATGTCCCCTTGTGGTCCCGAAAGCAGACCGACGAAACCAGCTGCGTCTCCGGACAGCAGTTTTTATTCGACCACCACAGGCCTCTCGCTCACCAAAGGCAGTGATGCCCTGGAGGAGGCAAACCTCACATGCAAACAGCGCCCAAAGTACTCGGAGATATGAACGCTTATCTCCGTAACAGGCGACACAAATGTAGTCATGCACTCCTCAACAAAGCCACAGCATCTGAACTGGACTGGACTGAGTCAGATATGTGGGGACAAGCAGCGAAGCCAATTTTCAGCTCCACTCAGTCAAAATAGGCCTCTATGCTTGTGGACACAACCGTCACATAAACATGACTACAGCCATCCGGAAAACCCCTCGTACATTCAGTTGGCCACGCTGATCGCTGGCGGATCGGGTGTCCACACAAACACGAAAGAAGAGCGACTGCAGCCAAACAAGCCACATAAAATTCGCCGGATTAGAAAACTGCTGGCTGGCTGCAAGGTGCAATAATCCACGAAAATGAGCCTCTTGGGAGCGCCACCAAAGGCATTACTTCTTGGTGCCGCCACCCACCACTCAGGGCCTCACAGAGACACTTTCCCGGTCAAACTGCGCCAAAACACCCGAGAATCCAGGATGGCGAAAGCTTGCCGCAAATCTTTGATCAACGACGAACCTGGTCGCCAAAAGGCAGTGCTGAACGAGCTACAAGCAGCAATGGTCAAAATTTTCGTCCACGGGGAAGACACTCCGTCCCCCGAAGTTAAAGGCCCGAGCAACTAGGGCTCTTACGGAACGAAAAAACCTCGCAAATGAAAGGCGCCCATAGAAACCACGAAAAAAGAAGGAGACGACCTCGCCCCAGAGGCCCCTTTGGAGCCTTGGACTCAAACCTGGCGCACAACTATTACGTCTGCTAACCAACCTAGTGACTCAACTTTCGGCTCCTCACCCTCGGAGGCAGCAGAGACAGGGTTGAAATGCTTTTCCACAAACTGTCTTAGCCTTTTCAACAAACTCGACGATGTTAAACAGTCAGATTGCCTTAAACAACCGTCCATAATCGCACTCACAAAGACCTGGCTCACACTAGATGTCTCTGACGCGGAGATCTTTATAGGCGGTTACTCCATTTTTCGGGCCGACTCAAAACGAGAGAGGGCTGGCAAGGTTGTTCTGTAATTGCGTGTGGCTGTACCGATCCCGATTGTCCTCTCTGACAACACTCCTGCACCCTTTTGCAAGGCACTGTGGGTCCGAATTCCGCTACGTGGATCCGATTCTCTCCTTCACGGTGTGGTCTACCATAGCCCCTCAAGTCCCCTGAAGATAACCGATTCCTCATACTACCCTTGAGAAACTCTCCTCCAGCTAACCCTGCACTCATCTCCTGCCGATGGGTGACTTCAACGCCCCAAAGGCCTCCTGGGTGGAGTTCCGGCACGTCGGATCAGGCGAACTTTTTCCAGTGGCGCTGATCGAAGTCGAGCAACAGAGCGCTTGGACTCAACATGTCATTGCACCCGCCAGATACCGCGCAGACCAACTACTATCCCTCCTGGATTTGGTCATCACCAACGAAAGACACTCCGTTGATCAGGTGACAAATAGCGCTCCAATGGACATAGCCACCACTGTGTGCTGACCTTTGATTTCATCTGCTATTGGGCCAGAAATCTTGAACCTCAAACGTGGTTTTGAGACTTCTACCGTGCAGGTTTCTCAGGAATGCGCATCTTCCTTGAACAAGTCACATTGGGACCAGCTCCAGTGGAAGAACCATTGTCCAGAAAGTTCGCTAGGTTGACACGACGTTCGTCCCAAAAAACCAACACGCTCTCGGATGAACTACAGGCTGCCAAAAAGGATTCGGCGACTTCTGGGAAAAAGATCCCAACTCCTTTTCAAAAAGTTGACTACAGAGGAATCAGAAGATGAGCTGGCATTTCGTAAAATGCGGAACCACTGTAAATCAGAAATCAGCCAATTGAACATACGAAAACGAGCCACCATCCAGGAACTTGCTCGAATAAACAAAGACGTCTTCTTCAAATACATGAGACATTGCCGCAGAAACAAGCCATCCACGTTCTCCTTGAGGGCAGAAACGGAAAACCGAAGAACGACCCAACGATGGTATCTGAGGTTTACAGATAACACTATGCGTGTCTATGCCCAGCAACAGCATGCTCATCACATCCACTCTTGTCAAGGCGGAACTACGAACAGCCTCCAGCCAGCTTGGTCCTAACGGTGAGGCACATTCGTCAACTCTTGCACAAGATCAACCCACTCTGCTCGTTGGAGCCCGACGAGGTCTATCTTAGGATCTTGGAGGAAACGTCGTCCCCACTGGCAAATGATTTACACCTAGTGTTTCGTCAGTCGCTTGACGAAGGCCGCCTTACCTCTGCTTAGAAGGAACCGAGTGTCACATCAATCTACAAAGCTGCTGACCGGCAGTCGCCTGGCAGCTACAGGCCTATAAGCCTCGCCAGCGTGCCGTGCAAGGTGATGCAACGCATTCTGAATTGAGCTATCCTAGATCACCTTACTTCCAGCAACTTGATATCTCCAGCTCAACACGGATTTCTCCCAAACCGCTCTTGCGCGCGAATATGCTCTTGTCAATGGACGGTTTAACTAAGCCAAGGACGGAGGACCCATGTCGGATGCCATATTTTTCGACTTCTCAAAAGAGTTTGATAGGATCCCACAAATCCCGCTGCTCCAAATCTTGAGTCTTACGGAATTCAAGGGAAAACCCCTCGCTGGATCAAGGCGTTCCTGTCAGAAATATCATTCCGAGCGAGAAGAGAGTCGACCTACTCTTCTACAGCGCCAGTCTCCATTGGAGTTCCTCAAGGCTCCGTCCCGGGACCAGTGCTGATGCTGATCTATGCCAACGACCTCCCAGATGTTTTTGCAAATCCATGTGTACTTTTTGCGGACGACTTGAAATCCCAGAGTTCCAGTGCCAGCGCTCTCCAAATGGATGTAGACGCTGCCAAGCAGTGGTCGCTGGACTGACACCTTCCTTTGAATGACGAAAAGTGCGTCAAAAGTCGTTTGGAGGAGACTCAGCGAATGCCTTTGTTATGCGTGATGAGAAAGGACAACAGAACATCATGAGGATAGATGCCAAAAAGGAATTTGGCATCTGGGTCTCCTCAAACTTGTCCTTCTCACCGCATCATGAGAAATCGGCCCGGAAGGCATTCGCCATTTTACGGATGGCCCGACGCACCTTCTCCCGTATTACTCGCATGCACTTCCAAACGCTATATGGGACCTACGTCAAACCGCTCCTGGAGTACGCCAACCAAGTTGTCTACTCAAATCGCGCGAAAGACGTCATCCTTATTGAGCGTGCCCAGCGAGCCGCCACGAGAATGGTTGCCGGCCTCAAATCCGTGGACTACGAAACGCGTCTTGCGATGCTTGATCTCTTTCCCCTGTTTGAAAAATGCATGGCAAACACATTTTTCATCGTTGACCCAGCAACCACACGGTGCGGAGAGTAAGAAAAGTTTCAAGCTCATAGCGCACACATTC